TATCTCCTTTCTCTATCGCTCTTTCTCTGTATCTATTTCTTGCTCTTTTCTTTGTTCTGTTACGTTAGACGCAGAAAATGCAGAGCAACCACAACAGAAAAATGCGTGAACGCTGATGACAATTTGTGATGTGCCTATAACACCCCTGGACAGATGATGCTCTATTTACGGATTTGGGTCTCTTTTTTTAAAAAAATAAGTTAAAAAAAAGTGTATTTATAAAGGGCATCCATTTCTCATTCATCTATACTTATATAAAAAATCATCCTATTTACTAGAATCAGTAGTAAGAAAGGTCGAAAGTAATTAATGCACGCAATTTCCATCAAATATTTTATTTTATTTAGTTGTTTTATCACATAACACATTTGCAATACAACTTACCATGTTTTTTCTATTGTGATTAAAAACTCGATTTTACGTTTAAAATCTTGTGAAATTATTATTGTTATTTTTATAAAGCACATATTATTTGTTAAAAAATTCTGTATATATTGGTAGATGTTGTAGCAAATTATTTTTATTTTTACCGAGAACAGAATCAAAAGATTCGTTCACTGGGTCGATCTCTCAAGGAAGACGGTTCGGAATTAGCGTTGGTATTGATCACACACGAAAAAAAAATAAATCATAAACATTCTAATCACAATTGATTTGGAGAATTAACTAAAACAAGCTAAAACTAGAAAAGCAATTTAAAGAAAATAATAATTAAATTTCTAGAGAAAAAGAAGAAGTTCTAGGGGTCGAAAAATCTCATCAAGTCTTAAACTATGTTGAATGATTATTTGTTCGGTTACGAGATTTAACAAGCCTACACGTCTAGAGGGCTATGGTCAATAACTCTTCTTAGCAAGAGCATATACATAAACAATAAACTCATTCAAACAAGCAACACATAGACAATACGTTTCCGAACATGTCTACTCTATACGAGCCTAAATCGACCAACGCCTCCCCTCTCGGTTCTACACGTTGATTAACTAGGTTAGAATGGTGATCAATCAACTAACCCTATAATTCACACAACTCGCATAGATTGAACAAAACACATTCATCATAATTCAAAACAATAATCAAAATCCCTAACCCTAGGTGAATGGATTACCTCATGCTTAGATTCAATTTTATGTTAACCAGAATTAAGAACATAAAAACAATCAACAATAATAGAATAGAATTGAAAAACTTACAATCGGATTAAAACTTGCAAGATTTCAATTCAAATATCTTTGTGTCCAACAATCCAAGCATGAGAAAATAAAAGGAAAAGCGGAAAAAATTATCCTAACAATATTGAGTTTTTGGAGAGAAAACTTGAAGAAAACAAGTTTTGGGGATTGTTCCTTAGGGCTGGAGGGTCGTTTTGATATATAGAACTCGAAAAACGGAGCTAAAACGAGTAAAAACGAACAAAAATAAAAACATGGTCGAAGCAGTCGCGACTCGCGAGAAAAACAGAGACTGACTGCATTAAAAGGTGGGGAAACTCGCTGAGTGTCGCGAGTCGCGACTTTGGACTGCACTGCGCTACTTTACGTTTCGGGCTCGTTTGGGCTCATCCGAACTCGGAATTGAGTTCCCTTTTTTTTTCCTACGCGTCGATAACAAAACCCTCTATCCAATTATGCTCTCGAAACCAACTTTTCCTGAATAGAAAATTCGCTCGAAGCTCCCGACCTACACACCAAAAACGACAAAACACAAAAGAAAATCGTAAAAACAAACAAAAAACACCTAAAGCCTCAAAATGAAGGAAAACAGATAATAAAACACGAAACGGACTAAAAACTAAAGTAACGACCTAAAACGGGGGAAAAGAAAGATAAAATAAACACGAAAAACGCAACAAAAATGGGACAAACAATAGATCATTTAAATTTCAACCTAATAAAATGCCAATAATTTAAATTTGAATACACATATGCGTTTGACCAAATATATTAATGATTTAAAATTGAGCCCATAAAAAATTATTTAAATTTGAACACACAAAAAAATTTATTTATTTAAATTTGAACACACCATAAATTTTATGTACTTTTTATTTATCAATATAATAAAAGTGGTATTTAATGGCTGTTATATAACTATTTTATTATATTTGCAATGAATAAAAGTTTGAATGAATAATTTGTAATGTTATTCATTATGTTTGTGACTTGTGAGAACGAACATATAGATACATATTTGTCAGAAGACGACTAATTTTCATAGATTGCTCAAAGCTATAATGAATCAACAAATCGTGGAATAAATAAAAAATAATGAAAAAATTTCCTAAACTGATAAAACGTTACAAACTGATAAAGGCTAAAAAATAATATGAAAAACTTTTATGTTTGTTTAGATTAACAACATTGATCCAACAAGTTCATCTTTCCTGTTTGGTCAAAATAATAATCAAACTTTATAAATCAATAAGCAAAATGTTTGGTCATGTTAATAATCAAACTTTATAAATCATTAGCAAATGAAAAGCAAACTGAATTGAATTTAGAGTATGTTGTAAAATTAAATGTAGAGTATGTTGTAAATCAATTCACACGGTTAAATTTACGATAATTAAAAGTAACAAACTAAAAAAAAAATCAAAAAGTTTAGATGACATGTGACATGCATCCCGCTCCGAGGAAACCTCTATCTTATAGCGAATACTGGTTGCATCTAATCTAATAGATGTGTAGAAGAACATGATGGATAAAAAACCTCATCATAACGAGAAAACATTTATCTTATAGTAGAATGTTGGCTGCATCTAATAGTTTTTTTTTTCTTATTTGCAACCATTATATCATTAAGAATATATTATATTTATATTATCAAATCATAAAAAGATATTAAATCCATATTGTAAAAAAAAATCATGTAATAAAAAATTCTAGTACACTATTTAACAATATTCCTTTTTATTATATAGTAGAATAATAATTAAATATTGTATGGTGAGCAAGAATAAGTAAAACTGTTACTTTCTCTTATATCAAGTGATAAATTTATATGCTAAAATTAAATTTTTATTAGTATAAATGTTTTAGTGAGATAATATATTAATTATTTTACAAGTTATCCCTAACATGCTCATATTTAATGTTTTGTCTAAAAAAACAACGATGTTTAAAAGATATGAAAAAAAACTTATAACTTATTATTTTTTAGACTTAACGTTGATTAAAAAATGTAGAAAATAGATAACAATCCTATTACTTTTTAGACTTAAATAGAAAAGGCTATGAAAATAATTCATTTAATATTCTGTCCCGTGCATCGCACGGGGTACTTACTAGTTCAATCAAAAATAGAGACATAGGGTCACCTTGTCGGATCCCCCTCGATGGACGAAACTCTTCACTCGAAACACCATTCCAAAGGATTTGCATAGATGCTGTAGTAACGCATTTCATAATGGCTGTCACAAAACTCGTTGGGAACCCCGCCAAGAGAAGAGTATCCTCAACAAAATCTCACCCATCGATATCCCAATTCCATTCATTTAATACCCCTTTCGGGTAACAGATCTCGTTTCCAGTCTATCTCTTACTATTTCTTTTCTATATATGGAAAGTTCAAAAATTATCATATAATATCATTATATAATCTCAAATAATAAGAAAGCATAAAGAAATCAAATAAATAATTTGAGAAAAAGATTCATTCTCTTCATAAAAATAAAAAATAAGAGGTAGAACCAATAAAGATTTCTTTTTCGATTCATCAAAACCTTTTCCTGAGCCTAGCTTCGAATCCACTCTTTATTAATGGGTATGGAAATGGCCTTTCTCTTAGATACCTTCTAGCGGGTTAGATACCTCTTCTAGCAGGCGCCCCTGACTAAACCTCTGAGCTCTTTTTCTGTAAAGATCCTTTTCTTAGAGAGACATTTCCGCACTCATTTCAGATCATAGAGGTCGGGCTTCAGTCGTCAAACCTTCTCCCGAATTCCCTTCCACCGATGAAAGGAATCTTGCTCTTGTAAAGTACAAAGGTAACATTAGTAAGGAATGAGTAAGCTAGTATGAAGGAAGTCTCTTCAGTCTGCAAGTATCCCTAACACCCATAGCAGAGTGCTTTTAGTCAATTACATTGAACCTATGACCCCATAGTATGATACTATGAAATGGAAGTACAACGAGGTAAGGAAGCAGACAAGGGTCGATGTAATTGAGTTGCCCTTTGGCCTAAACTCTTAACTAAGGGATTCTATTTAATCTCTTAAGAAAACATTCGAACAAGCAAGGTAGCTACTCAGCTATAAAATTTATTTTGTACACGGCATGGTGTTCTGTTTTTCTTTTAATGGAATTAGTTTATTTATATGGTTCTATTGTACCAACATTGAATTTTGAAATAGTAGTCAATCACAAGAACATCCAGTAACAACAGCTGAATCTGAGTAACATTCTCTCTCATCCGCATCATCTCCACATCATCTTT